ACCCTAACCCCCAAACCCTAAATGAGGAAGCCCAAAACCTCGTAGCTGAGAGGCCGCATCATCGACCTGGGCTCTACCAATCTTCTTCAACCTCCTTTGCTTTGGGTGTCTTGGGCTCTTTGGGTGTCTTGGGCTTCAGGGTTTTGTAGGGGGTTTAGGGTTTAGGGCTAAGGGCTCAGGGTTTTTGTTTATGGGGGTTTAGGGTTTAGGGTTTTACCCTAAACCCTAAACCCTAATTTTAGGGTTCAAGGTGTTTCAACCTCCTTTGTTTCGGGTGTCTTGGGCCCTTTGGGGTTTAGGGCTTAGGGATTATAGGAGTTTAGGTTTGGGGCTTTGTTTTTGTTGGGGGGGTTTAGGGTTCAGGGTTTTATTCGGGTGTCTTGGGCTTTTTGGGTTTCGGGCTTGGGGTTTATAGGTGTTTAGGGTTTAGGGGTGTTTCGGGTGCCTTGGGCCCTTTAGGATTAGCGCTTGGGTTTTTGTTGGGGGTTTAGGGTCTAGGGTTTTACCCTAAACCCTGGCCCTAAACCCTAATTTCAGGGTGCAAGGTGTTTCAACCTCCTTTGTTGCAGGGCCTTGACCTTGCGTGTTTAGAGTATTTAGGGTTCAGCTCGGAGTTCGGGAGTTCGGTTTAGGGTTTAGGGTTCAGGGTTTAGGGTTTAGGGTTTAGGGTTTTTGGTTTTGGGTTTAGGGTTTTTGGGTTAAGGGTTTTAGGGTTTTGTGTGCTGGGTGATGGGCTTTCGTGTAGGCTTCTCAGGGTTTAGGCCTCAGGGCGTACATGCTTAGGATGTAGGTTTGTGAGTGTTTAGAATTTGGGATTTCTGTTGCTGAGCCCTAAACCCTAAACCCTAAACCCTAAACCCTAAACCCTAAAGGGCGTAAGCTTTGGGATCCCTTGTCCAAGGTTGCGCATGCGTTCAGGGACTTCAAAGCAGGAGCCTGTCAGGGACCGACGAGTGGCCTGAATACTTAGGGTTTAGGGTTTAGGGTTTAGGGTTTAGGGTTCAGGGTTTAGGGTTTAGGGTTTAGGGTTTAGGTCCCAGTAGGTTTCCCGGGAAACCCGCAGGGACATGCTCCCCCCGAGCCCTATACGGCCTCTAAATGGCTTGTTTTGTGATGCCAGCATTATGGGCATGCTTTCAGTTCGAGTAACATAAAGCCGTGAATGCCGAACGTGGGAAGTTGGTCTGGTTTCGTGATGCTCGTTTACGATTAATTAACTGTAAGCCGTTGAACGAGTCCTGAACAAGTCCTGAATCCTTTTTTGGAACGAAACCTTCGTTCAATACTTTCGGCCTCTGAATTTACGCCCTGTGCGACTCAGGCAGTCTATTCCGCTGGTAGTTGAGCGCATGGGTCCGAACAACACGGGCAAGGCTCCACCGCCGTCACAGCCGTAGCGCCACGCTCATCAGTTGCTTTCAATTAGCATAATATAACATAATACAATAAATATGATATAGCATGATATAATATACTATAGTATAATATAATCCATTATAATAACTATAACGATGCAGGGTCGATAGTTCTAAAATGAATAGAGCAGTGGCAGCGGCAGTTACAGCTTCGTAGTTGTAGTAACTCAACGTTGACCGATGTCCAATCATGGTAAATTGGCAAAGTATAAAGTAAGCACTAGTAAGATGAGCAGCAGCCATGGATGCATCAATGCTCAGAACCGAATCTTGGCGATGAGCCCTACACTCTGAACTAACCTCTTTCGACCCGAGACTCCAGACGGCTCCGGCAAACACGGGGCTTGGGGAACAGTCAGGGCGCGACTTAGCGGCTGTGTGGAGCCTGCTTGAGAGTTGAGGGCTAAGGTTTTAGGTTTCATGATGGTTCCGGGAGTCGAGCACGACTGCATGCTGCTTACCTTGACTGACTGTAGCATCGAAATCCTTCTTAGCGGCATGAAGATCCAGTACTATATGGTCGTAGTTTCGAGCTCGAGAATGGTGAGCACTTTGTAAATCTGGGCTGGAGGCCTATGTCGCCAGAGCATATCAGTGGTTCAACGCAGCCTCGAAGCTGTCATCCTCATCATGCCTCGCAACCTTGGCGTTTGCTCTACCCTAAGTCTGCACTGCTGACGCGGTCAGTGTAAGGTGGGAAACTTGATCTACTTTCCCGTTCCATCCCTAATCTGTTTGTTGTTCTGCTTGTCTCAGAGGATAAAACAGGTACAAATGTGTGTCTATCTAAGATTTGCATATACAGGTGCACATATCCACATACTGATGTGTGTATATATATATATATATATATACATGCTTGCATCTAGGTACTCTACTCTATTCTATTATATTCTATTCTATTCTATTCTATTCTACTATACGACTCTAACATCGAAAAATGTGCAAATGCATGTGTACGTCATACAGACCCTATACCCTAAACCCTACGCCCTAAGCAGCCTCTCTTCGTAGTGACATCGATCCCTGGAAGGTACGCAATGCCATCCTCCTGGGCTCGAGCAGCCTTGCGATCGACTTCACCCAAAACTCTATAAGCCAGGTTCAGGGTCTTAGGATTTAGGGTTATTTACTCTTCATTACACCAAAGACCCCCAAACCTGAAACCCGCTGCACTTAACAAAAAACCTGAAACCCTGAATTCTAAGCCCCAAGCCTTGAACCCAAAATCACGAAGTTTCACCTTATTCTCGGAGGATTTCGTTTGAAACTTGGATGCTTCAGTGCAGCTCAACCAAGGGCTCGACTTATATTATCACTTTTTAGGGAACCCCCAAAACAGTATTGGTAATTATTTTGGCCCCTACATTAACTGTTGTTTAGTCCAGGGTGGTTTAGGGTTTATAGGGCTTAGGGCGGGCTGGGTTTTCGGAAGCCAGCAGTTTGCCCCAATTACATGCTGGGAGTCTCGAGCGCGAGTGTGAGCCGTGAGCGTCCCTTGTCACCATTCCTGCCTCGACTTGTGTTTCTGTAGCTAGTGTAGGGGCCATAATAATTAGAATAGGGCTTTGGGGTATACTATAACTGCCATAAGGAATCGCCAGCACCTTATTCTAATTATTAAGGCCCCTACATCAGCCTTTGACTCTGCATCCTCAAAAGCTCTTATACCCAACGCCCTAAACCCTATAGGCTTGAAGCGCGAGCTTTTTTGAGCCCTAAACTTCTCAGCTGTCTTCTAGAGACCCGAAGATGCAGTAACTGCTAGTACTCTGTTTTGGATGCCTTCGTAGTAATGCAGCCTAAAGTCTAGGAAAACCAAAGAACTGGAACCCGAACCCTGAGCGCTCTGATAGATCCTAAACCCTAAACCCTAAACCCTAATTTAAGCCCTACCTGGACCCTTAAGAACCTCTCTTTTTAGGGCTCCTTACTATGATTTCTTTATATAGGTCCTTGAAAAGGTAGGTTCTTTGGGGTCTAGGTAGACCCTGAAACCGCAATCAGCCCGAAGCTCCAGCCTAAATTCTGAAGCCTGAAATCATTTGCCCTAGATGCCAAAGGGTTTAGGGTTTGGGGTTTAGGGTTTAGGGAGTACCTATATCGAAAGTCTTAGTAGCTGAGTGAGTACACTTTACACTTTGTGGGATACTATGATCCCTTAGAGAGCTGAAAGTGTAGACTGTTTTGGGGCTTATTAACTCAGCAACTAAGAAGTACTTGCCCAAACCAGAGCAGTAATTCCTACTACAGAAACCCTACTTCCCACTATACAGGTCCTTAGGACCGTTCGGGCTTAGGAACCCTGAACCCTGAACCCCCAGCCCTTCCCCATAAATCCTAAACCCTACCCTAACCCAAGGCGTGCCGCTCCTCATGGGCATGGCTTGGGTGGTGGTGGCGGCACTCTTGGGCTCAAGCTTGCGACTCGACCGGGCAATGAAGCTTTGGGGGTTTGGGGTTTGGGGTTGAAGGCTTCAGGGTGTAGGGTTTAGGCTTCAGGGTTTAGGGTTCGGGGTTCGGGGTTTAGGGTTTAGGGGGTTTGAGGTTAAGGGGGTTTAGGGTTTGGGGTTTGGGGGCTTTGGGGTGTAGGGGGTTTGGGGTTTAGGGTTTGGGGTTTGGGGGCTTTGGGGTTTAGGGGGTTTGGGGTTTAGGGTTTAGGGGTTTAGGGGGTTTGGGGGCCACAGATCGGGTTTGGGATTTGGGGTTCAGGGTAGATGACGAGTGTTTAGATTTTCAAAACTGGGGTTGAGGGTTTGTAATGTTTGTTTGTCGTGTTCGGATGGAAAGTTCGGGATTCTACTGCGGGGGAGGTCGGGCGTGGTTTTACGACTTTGGGGGTCTTGGGCTCAGAGGGTTTGAAGCTGTGCCTGTAGGACTTGAACCTAAACCCTAACCCTAAACCCTAAACTCGGACTTGCCTAGCCTTTGGTGCGGTTTTTCGGTGTGTGGGGTCCGGTTGGGCAGCCCTAGGCGGGCCAAGCGACCCCTGTTTCGCAGGTTCCAGAACGTTAGCATTCCTCTCTTTAGAGGTCTTTAGCTACCCATAGGCTTCATTCTAGTTCCTTTTTCGTGGCTTGTATTTAGGATCCTCTAACTAAGGTAATCCCAAAAAGGAACTACTATGGAGCCTATGGGTACACTGTTTCTCTTGAATTTCCTGGAACTCCTCAAGCCCAACCACAAAGCCACAGCCCAACAGAACCCTGAGGCCTCAACACCCTAAGGCCCTCAAATTCGAAAGCATAGGCCCTCAGAGCCCGAAGCCCTAGATTTAAAAAAACATAAACCCTCAAAACCAAGCATAAATCAACTCTCGAAACTCATCATAAACCCTCACGGCCCCAAAACCTCAACTTCTAAAGCATAAACCATCAAGGCCCTAAACCCGAAACTTCAAGAACATAAGCCCTCCACTTCTACAGCATGAGCCCTTGCAACCCTGAACCATAAACTTCGAAAACACAAGATCTCAAAACCCAACATAAGCCGTCAAAGCCCTAGACCTAATCTTCTAAACCCTGAACCCTAAGACCTAAACCCTGAACCCCTAAATCCCTAGACCCCTAAACCCTAAACCCTAAACCCTCAGCTCTACCTTTGAACTCCAGGAGTTTGGACGGGGACCAGGACCCAGTGATCGCCCTCGTGCAGGGACCACTTCAGGCTTTCTGCGGCTGAGCACATTTTTTGGGTCTGAGGGGTTTAGGGTTTATAGTGGCTTAGGTTTTAGGTTTTAGTGAATTATGATTTAGGGGGACC